TACTGATATATTTCATAGTGCTTTCCCCCACCTCCCCCACTTTAATATACCTTTATTCTTTGAAGTAAAAGAAAAACCATTTTGCATATCAATTGCTTGAGAAATATTGCTTTTCATTTGTAACAAGAAATTTAGAGATTGGACCTTGAGGCTTTTTTTGAAAAAAATATTATTTTAATTAAAAGAAAATACATATATATACCATCATATAGGGGGGTATGTTTACTAAAACATAAAAGGTATTAAAATAAATTGAGAAATCAAGTGCCTATTGCTAACTTAATGGTCCTTGTATACTGTTAGTTTAAAACCAAGAAATATTTGCAGAGGCAGTAATATCGGAACGCCAACAGTTGCAGTTTTGTCACACAATTATCATATTGTAAATTTTAACTACCCGGTGACAGTGAATAAAAAAATATGTTGGTACCCAAAGTAAGGTCTTGTCTCGAGGAATATACCTGTGAAAATATGAAAGCCCTAGCAGCAACCATTGAATATACATTGAAAAGGTTATAGTTTTTTCAAAAGTAAGTCAAACATCAAGGCCAAGGTCAAATGGTCAAAATTAATGGTGCCTAAGGAAAGGCCTTTTCGCAAGAAATATACAGGTGAAATATGAAAGCTGAAGCACCAATCATTCAAAAGTTATGACCAAGGTCAAAGTTTTTCAAAAGTAGGTCAAACTTCAAGTCAAGGTCAATGGATTACAATTGTTGGTATCCAAAGGAAGGTCTTGTCACAAGGAAAAACATGTTAAATATGAAAGCCCTAGCACCAACTTTTCAAAAGTTATGGCCAAGATTAAAGTTTTTTCGAAAGTAGGTCAAAGTGTAAGGTCAAAGGATAAAGTTGTTGGTATCCGAAGGAAGGTCTTGTCGCAAGGATTACACATGTGAAGTATGAAAGCCTTAGTACCAATGGTGCAAAAGTTATGGCCAAGATTAAAGTTTTTTCGAAAGTAGGTCAAACTCCTAGGTCAAGGTCAAAGGGTCAAAGTTATTGGTATCCAAATGAAGGTCTTGTCACAAGGACTACATATGTGAAGTATGAAAGCCCTAGCACCAACTGTTCAAAAGTTATGGCCAATGTTAAAGTTGGGTAAAATTTTGTAAAACTAGGTCAAACTCCAAGGTCAAAAGGTCAATTATGATGGTAGCCAAAGAAAGGTCTTGTCACAAGGAATACACATGTGAAATATGAAAGCCATAGCTCCAACCAATCAAAAGTTATGAGCAATGTTAAAGTTTTGCGGACAGACAGACAGACAGGGCAAAAACTATATACCCCCGAATCTTCGATACAGGGGCATAAAAAGTAAATGCCAGGCACGTAGGGTCAATTTTGAAAGTGAGAGAAGGGCATTATAAGGGAAACAATATGTGTTTGTGAAACACTGATGCCCCCGTATGGCAACTTATAGCGAAGGTTAAACTTTCTCAAATGCAAATCAAATATGTTGGTACCCAAAGTAAGTTCTTGTCCCGAGGAATATACCTGTGAAATATGGAAGCCCTAGCAGCAACCATTTAAAAGATATGTAAAAGGTAAATCAAATTCAAAGGTAAGTCAAACATCAAGGTCAAGGTCAAATGGTCAAAATTAATGGTGCCCAATGAAAGGCCTTCTCACAAGAAATACACATGTGAAATATGAAAGCCCTAGCACCAACCAGGGACTTATATACTATACTAGTATATAGGTCCCTGCACCAACCGTTCAAAAGTTATGGCCAAGGTTAAAGTTTTTGAAATGTAGGTCAAACTCCTAGGTCAAGGTCAAAGAGTCAAAGTTATTGGTATCCAAAGAAAGGTCTTGTCACAAGGATTACACTTGTGAAGTATCAAAGCCCTAGCACCAACTGTTCAAAAGTTATGGCCAATGTTAAAGTTGGGTAAAATTTTGTAAAACTGGGTCAAACTCCAAGGTCAAGGTCAAAAGTTTAAATATGATGGTACCCAAAGAAAGGTCTTGTCACAAGGAATACACATGTGAAATACGAGAGCCATAGCTCCAACCAATTAAAAGTTATGAGCAATGTTAAAGTTTTTGCGGACGAACAGACAGATAAACAGACAAACAGACCGACGGACAGGGCAAAAACTATATGCCCCCGAATCTTCGATACGGGGGCATAAAAATACAACTTACTGAAAAAATCTTTGACTTGTCCCAAAAGGGAGAATTCTCCAAACTCCAAACTTTATTTTGGTGTGGGATGGTTAGGGTCCATTACGGGGTGGGTGGGGCAACCAGCCTTTCACTGAACATTTTCATACTGAATTAATATGGTAAAAATTTACTTTCAGAAAAAGGGTGTTTGGAGGGGGCAGCCCCCCTCCCCTTTGATTCTATGTACCTGAATATTATGTCAACTGAGTGGAAGTCGGGTGCAAGTTAAATTATTTTTTAAAACTATATGTATTAATTTGGAAGTTTATAATCTAGTTTTAGTCCAATGTAGAAAAATAAATTCTTATGTTTACCTGGAAGGTTACGTGCAGGTGTACATAATGTAGTACATGTATATTTTCTTCAATGTTGGATGTCAGCTAATCAGAGAACATCCTCGCAAGCCAGGGGTCCTGAGTCAAGACGTTCCGGCAACGTATTGACTCAGGACCCCTGGCTTGCGAGGATGATCAGAGAACTAAGAATTATTCAACCTTAAAATAATAATACAGAATGAACAGAAGACATATGACAATTAAATTACAGCGGAATACAAATTGTTAACAGGTTGAAGGTCTGGCTTGTAAAAAATACGAACGTTAGAAAACAAGGAAATTAATGTGTACAGAGTTAGTGTTCATGTTGACCGGTATTTGACCTTTGTTAAAGAATTCTTTGACATGCAAACAACCATCAGAGAAGCTCCTTGTCTGCAAACCATGAGCATATTTAACATGAAAGGGCACGAATTATTTTTTGACATAATGTGAAAGCTAAATGATAAAAGAAAATAAATTTATGGATGTCCAAAAACATGAAGGAAAAAAAGTGTCCTTTTAGAGAAATCTCCTTTTCAAGATACAAGCATATAGCAAAAATTGCTTTTAAGTATGGTCATGGATGTACATCTATTTCTGAAATTCAATAAAGAACAATGTTACCTTTTGAACGAATACAGAAGATCACGAAAGCAAAAAATTAGAGAATATCCTTTTCATTTGCAATATATAATATGAAAGTGAACATGCATTTAGTTCCAAATTGTAAGCAAACATTTATTAGAAAAATTAAACTTAGTAATTGTCTAACGATATACTGAGTAAGAATTAAATAAAAAAAAAGCTAATGTGTGCAAGTAATAACTTATTTTGAAATAATGTATAATACCTAAAATTTAAGTGATGCTAATCAATTTATAAGTATACATGTACATTGATTATTAGGGTAATAAACTGATTGATTTGTTGTTTGCTATTTATTAATTGATTGAATCATAATAAAACAATAAAAAAAGGACTTGAGTTGTTTCAACTGCAAAAGCAATGGTCCGACAGTTTTGCAGACTCCAACGAAAAAATTCCGCACATGAGGCTATCTATAGGGTTGTCTACTTATAATAAAAAATTGCATGCATTTGATTTAAAATTTATTCAATAAGCAGTTTGACAGACTTCATTTTGATTCATTTTTCGTGCAAATCAGAGTTTCGTTGATAACTGTTATACTGATATGCCTTATGCAAAATTTCAACATGTGTTTTGTACTGAACTATCATAAATGAAATACCATGGCCCAGATCAGATCCACGAGACACTGACAGCAGTGTCATTAAGTATACTTACTGTCGTGTAAACATTTTTTTTAACTTCAGACTGAAAATTTATACACGACTATATCTCAGTAAAACTAAGACATGTGAATTTATTGTACATAATCCTGTACCTAGCATTGTTCCTGTTGTAAAAACATCCGTATTGAAATAGAACATGTCTTAAGATTTTAAATTACTCTCACTCTAAAATTAAAGACATTTCGTTTTCAAACTAGTTTCCCAAATCAACATGAATTGGTTATTATAATAATGCAAACGAATACATTTTCAAACTAGAAGCATGTCTTTCCAAATCGACCTGAATTGATTATCATAATAATGTTAATGAATGGATTTTTCCAATATTGAATGGGAAATACAGGATACATCAGTGCCAGTTTTATTTAGACAGCATAATAATTTTATGCACATTAATTGCAATATATATTTCTTTGTTGTGGGTTTATTTATTCTGTATAACTTGTTGGACACATCGAATTTCATTTTTGTGACATCTAATATAGATATCGATATAGCATATATCAAATTATTGTGAGACAGAAAAAAGGTATTTTCTTGTCAAGGTCGCAACGCATGGATGAATTTGACCGCTTCATGACACGTGCAATCTGATGTTTATATTTACTTCACGTGACTATAAATAATATTTTAAAAAAAAATGTCCCAAAAAACAAAACAAAACTTCAATTTATGTGCCTCATCCATTCTATAATTTTCTTGCTGGAAAAAATGTAATATATTCCTGTATTCTCACACAAGCACACATTAAAAATTTAAACAATATTGAAATTCATGTTTCCAATTCATGTAATTATTATACAGTCTTTGTATTTTTTAAATAATGAAGTGCGTGAACTTAAATAAACACTTTTCAAATTTTTTATTTAGGGAAAAAGGAGGTTTGGTGGTCAAATTTAACAAGCTTTTATCCCCTCATTGTGCCCCATTACATGAATCAGTAGAACCTTGTGATTTAAACGGAAAATAAGCAATTGTATTGTACATTATAACAATACTGGACATTCATTGTAAAAGTTAAGGTCATTTAGCGTCCGTCTGCCTTCTTTCTGGTTATATTGTCCACTAACAGTGTCAATAATCAATAAAACATCGGCTAATCTTATCACACGTGCAATGTGTTGTACGGATAGCTTTACAATTAAATACAGTTAGTAAAAAAATAATCGTGAAAAAGACCAAACACAGATACTCTTACCTAATTTTAGTTTGTCAGACGCTGTCCAAGATTATTCACCAAAGGAACACGTAAACAAAAAACACGTTGTTCCACCTCTTTCTTGTTATAATGGCATATTGAAATGAAATGTTACGACGTCCAAGTGTGTTTATATAAAATTCAAACCACAACAGTTTAAGAATTTACAATATCACTTGAATAAATATCCAGTTTTAAGCCTTGCACACATGTATTAAATTTTAACTTGTTATATAAGATAGGGCTCTATTCCGGTATGATGCACATGCGTGTATTTTTACTACTGTGTTCAACAGCCTCCATAATGTAAAAATAACTTGGAGGTTCCCTGTGGGGAAAGAATAAATCTTTTGAATCCTGTCCAAACGAAACGGTATTTAGATTTAACTTGTCAACATAGATGAAACTAACATATGTGTGCCACAATGTACATGTGTATATTACATACACTGACATAAATTTTCGTAATCTAAAATGGGTCTTAAAGAGTCTCCATAATTTATGAGAATGATGCTAGGTATATCTTAATATTTTTTTAAATGCCTATCATTATTAAAATCAACCATGAGCCATAAACTATCTTTTTAACATTTCAGAAATACTTTTAAAATGTATTTGAGCTTAACATAATTAAAGACTTTTGGCCTAGAAGGTCAAGAATCCATTATACCAATATGGTGATTAAATAGGATCATAAGTTTGGGAGAAAATAGGGTCAAATCGAGTGATTTGTGTATCAAGTATAAAAAAAATTACATTACTTTCGTAATGTAATACATACCAAGGGAGGATCAAAGAATTTCTTTTACGGGGATATATTAGACTCGGTATGTCCAAAGCGAAGCCTGGTGGGGGTCCAGGGGACAATTAAAGCCCCCTCTTTAGAGATTTTAAATGTAAAATTATCTTCCATAAGCGTTAAGTCACAAGGGCTCAGGTGACCCCCCCCCCCAAAAAAAATAGTAACAATTATCAAACTATATTCAAAAACTTTCATCAGGTTTTTTTTTTAATTTCACTTGGCAAGTTACGTGTATCCGCTTGTCATTAAGATGTGATTTGCATTTACAATTTTCATGGATTTGCATGACCAAACTTCTCGTTTGTGAAGAAGTATAATATACATCCTCGATATCTTTCTTCTTGATCTTTAAGAATCAACAGATTTGCAAATATTCCGAAGTTAGCTAAAAAACAAATTACCTACATAAAAAGAAATTTGAGTGATGCAAATTATTTTCATTATTAATAAACTGCATAAAAATATATGAAACTGTCACTTTTTCCCCTTAGATAATTTAATCTAATTTAAAATGATCACGAACATTTTTAGGAGATCCTGTTTATCCTTCGCCCTTTAAAAGGAAGCTAAGCATATCACGTATTGTCTGAAGCTGTTTTTTTTTCTGCTGATTTGCCGATGTAAACAAGAAATTCAAAACACTAATGAAATAATGACGAATTACTCACTCCAGTATTTTAGAGGAGAAATTAAGGGACGTTGTCGAGGGGGATACATCCACACCTTTGAGGCTAAAATGTATTAATATAAAGGGAAATCTATCGTGATATTAAAATTTGTATTCAAAATACACTGAAATAGATAAATCATATCTACATAAATACGAGATTATAGGTAGTCCTGCAATTTAAGCAGTGTCAAGTGGACTCTGCTTGATTTCAAGCAATCAATAAAACGAGAAATTTCAACAATAAAGATTTGTCATCGTAGTAAATGTTTTTAAAAAATTTTGATAAAAATACTTCGACAGACTACTTTAGGAAAATAGAAAAATAAATATAAAACTAGTGCACATTTTTTATGTGTAGCTCTCTGGTCAATCAACCAATTTTTTCCAGAGAGATACAATATTCTGCAGCTAGTTCTGAACATGTATATCAGAAAGCAGTTTAGTTAGATTTGTAAATTTTTAAGATATCATAATTAAGATGAAATATTCCTAAAATGACACACATTCCAATGTTTTTTTTTTTTTAATTTTATACACAGTTTTACTTAGTTTATGAAATTTACTGAAAAGTAGTGGGGCTCAAATGCAAGAAATATAAGTAAAGGGACTCAAAATTATAAGAATATCACAAGCAAATAAACTTGCAAAGCCAAAAAAAAAGATGGTGAGATATTTTGAGTAGTGATACCAATATCTGTGAGGGTGTAATAGTGATAAGGAGGGTCTGCGCCCCCTGTGACTTCGCCTATGGAAGCTAATCGTAATGCATGTATTTTTAGATTACACTTAAATTCACCGAGGCTTTGCCCTGAAATCCTAACTGAAATTCTGTATGTTTGGAAAATTGGTATATTTATTTTTCTAAAGGATTGTAAAATATAATTTTCACATCTTATATAAATATCGATATAACATATCAAATTCGCTGAAAGATAATTTGCACTTGAAACAAGATTATTTAGTCATTTGTTGACTGTAGTTAAAGCGGTAAACTAAAGTCAATTAACTGTTTTACGAACAAACCTAACTTAAAATACCAGGTTACAAGTGAACTATAGTTAAGAGTCGTGAAATATTATTTCAAAGAGCAATTCTGATACGAAATCAAAATTTATTTTAGATGAATTTTCTTTTTTTCCCCTTTGTTTATTCATTTATTATTTTCTTTAAAATTTATTTATTTATTTATTTCTGTCGTGAATTGAGAAACACTGTATTATATATCATAGGTAAAGTATGACTTTGACAGGTCGACTGGGGATGCTTACTCCTTCGTGGCACCTGAACCGATTTCTGAAGTTTACAGAGGTCCGTGTTTTCTCAGCTCACAATTTGTATTGTTTAATTGGACTTTTGAGCCTGATTAATATTCGTTACCTTCACGTTTCATATATTAATTATAGAATAAAAAATTAAATTTAAGCGGAATTTTCTTACGTTAAATATACATATAATACGACATACAACTGGACAGCGAGCACATGGCCTACATTAATCCTCGTGATTAAATACACTGTAATACGATTTAGAGGTGTTTGCGTCTTCACAAACCAAGAAGTTCCGATCCGAACTCAGCTCTTTCTAGAGATCGGATCGGAAACCCTTGTCTAGAGACAAGTTCGGACAGCAGTGTCTATATATATACTTACTGTCATGTAAACATTTTTTAACTTCAGACTGAAAATTTATACAAAGCAATATTTCAGTAAAACTAAGACTTGTGAACTTTTTATAGATAAACCTGTACCTAGCATAGTTCCTGTTTAAAAAAAAATCTGTACTGAAATAGAACATTTCTCAAGGTTTTAAATTACTCTCACTCTAAAATTAAAGACATTTCGTTTTCAAACTAGCTGCATATCTGCACAAATCAACATGAATTTATTATTTTATTATAATAATGCAAATGAATACAGTTTCAAACTAGCTGCATATCTTTCCAAATCGACCTGAATTGATTATCATAATCATGCAAATGAATACAGTTTTCCAATATTGAACGGGAAATACAGGATGCATCTGTGCCAGTTTTATTTAGACAGCACAATACTTTTATTCACATTAATTGCAGAATATATTTCTTTGTTGTGAGTTTATTTATTCTGTACAAACTGTTGGACACATCGAATTTCATTTTTTCTGACATCTAGTTATAAATATCGATATAACATATCATATTTGCTAAAAAAAAAAAAAATGAATGAAACATAATTTGCACTTGAAACAAAATTATTTGGTCATTTATTAATACATTAATTCTTGTGATTAAGTACACTGTAATACGATTTAGACGTGTTTGCGTCTTCACAAACCAAGAGTTTCCGATCCGAACTCTACTCTTTCTAGAGATCGGATCGGAAACCCTTGTCTAGACTCAAGTTCGGTTCGGAAACCCTTGGCTTGCAAAGATGTATTAGATACATTATTGTACAACCAGATATACTGATGATGTAACAGATCATAAGATTGTAGATGACTTTGCATCAATTCATGATAAATTTATATACATGTAATTCTTTAATTATAACATATAAATGAACAAAATTTTATATCATTAGTGGATGACACTTCAACCCATAAACGCAAAATAGGCTCTATTTGTTTTTGTACATTTGTAATATGTCACTTTATTCTGACAATTAAGGGAAGTATAATTCAAAATGTTCAGGTTAACTTTGAGATATCCGAGGGTTCGAGATATCGAGGGTAAAATACTTAAGAAATACGTGATATGGACTTCCTAGTCACTTCGACATATCCATGGTAATCGAGATGTCCGTGTTCGAGATACCGAAGTTCAACAGTATTTCATAATGCTGTTAGAGGGATTTATATGGAAAAACAACAGGTTGATTTAATTTAAAAAATTGATTCACAAATCCTTCAATATATTTAGAATTAAGAAACTTAAACTCCTCTTACATGTAAAAATTGAAGAAGATCCTAATAATACATGCACTGAGGAAAACACTGTGGGACACTGGTGATGGATATAGATGATATTCAATGATTTGTAGTTGGATATGGAATTTATTTCACTAGTGGGACGGGATTTTTGGATATTTTCACGAGTGCGAAGTACGAGTGAAAATATCCAAAAATCCTGTGTCACGAGTGAAATAAATTCCATATCCAACTACAAAACATTGAATTTTCTGTTTATTACATTTTCTTTGATTTTCCCTTTGCCTCGGTCTTTTCTTAACACAGTGTCATTAGACTGTGACGTCATAGTTGAGCAGTTGAAAAGTCATAGCATTGAAAACATTGTAAAATTAATTTTAGCAACATATTTGGGAAGAAATTGGCAGTTTAAGTCTATATCAAGATGGTTTAGTTACTTTCTCTATCTTATCATGGGCCAGAAATTATTCTTTACTTTGATATATCCCTTCACACTGTGACAGAATATCATTTTGGTATCCTTTTACACTATATGAGAGAATATCACTTTTATTCAATAAATAAATCACTGTATTTCACTGTTGAAAATGTAATCAATTATTTTATGTAACCAAGTAAGGATACTGTGTTTAATCAATTTTGGAACAGACAATCACCCGGGTATGTTCGATATGTGATATTTATCGTTGTAAATAAATGTTGTTCTTTTATTTACGAATATGGAAATTTTACACTACTTAATAAAAAATATAACCCTTGATCGGAATGTTGTGGATTGCTTAACATTACGCCGAAAACCGAAAAATCACTATGTTAAAA